ATTTATTTTTTTTAAAAAAATCCTATATTTTTATTAAGGACATAAATTTTCATTAACCATTAATTTTTATTAACAAAATATTCCAATATAACTTTTAATGAATAATTTTCAGTTATTCATATTCATTTTTGTTTAAAAGAGCAAAAAAAAATTTTAATTATATTAATATCACTAACAACGAAAATTTCCCTCTTAGAAATATAAAATTTTCTTATAAAAATATTTCTTTCTAAAAATTTGTTCTCTTTTAATAATATTACTTTTTTTTTTTTAACAAAATAAAATATATCTCCTTAAATAAATGTAAAGCAAAATATTAATTTTTTTTTTAACTAGCACTTTCGCATGGCTAATTAAGTATTTTCTTTTCATATATTAATTTTTATTTTCATAAAGGTTAACAAAGTCTATTTTTAACGAATTTTCTTGTTTTAAATTTATTAAGTCTTGTTTTTATTTTATTTTTTTCCTGTTATTCTTTATATTTACATAAAAATTTATAATAATATGAATGAAGATTTTTTAAAACTCTATCAATTATTTTTTTTCTTTTAGTACATATGATATTAATGGATCAATCATACTTGTTGCAATTCATCCACATGTGAATTATTATTCCAATAATCATTCAATATTTTATCTTTAGATTTATTACTTATTTCATTTGTTTCTTTATAAAAAGGTACCATTTCAAGCTCTGCAGTTTGTTTTTCTTCTAATACACCAACCTCTGCTAACAATCTTTCATGTTTTAACTTATTTTTCATTTGCATTGTATCTTTATTAATCAAAGACCTACTGGAATCATACTAAAATATATAATAAAAATTGTTTATAAGTTTTTTTTTATCGTTAAAGTAATAAATTACATAAAATTTTAGAAATTATTAGAAACAAAATATATTTATATATATTTTTTTTATATGAACATTATCTTACGTTGTAAAAGCAATGAATTTTCCAAGTTAAAATAAAAAATGTAAAAATATTTAAACATAAAGTAAATATTTTCATTTTATTACTACTACAGTATAACAATAAAGTTAGAGTTATTAATCTAGGCACAAAATTGTTTTTATTTTCACTTTTACTAGGTTAGGGATTTGTAATATTACTTTAGATGATATTATAATTTTTATAATGTTTTTAAGATTTTAAGGTAAAAAATTATTTGTTTATATGAAATATATTTCCTAATTTTTTTTTAATTATATATAATATTATATTTGCTTTATCTAAGATTAATACTGTTAATTTTTTATAAAATAATTTAAGTAAGAACACATATAAGTAAAATAAAATGTTTAAATATATAAAATTATTTTAAAAAAATTAAAATAATATTATATTGATCCTTAAAGGATATAAAAAAATCATATATTGTTAATTCAAAACAAGTTAATGTTATAAATGTTTTATACTTAATGAATTTTTTTTTATTTTTTTTTATTTAACTATTAGTTTTTTTCTGTAAATCAACTTAAACTTTAAATTATTTAATATATGAAATTTATGATTTATAGATATAAATTTAGATATATTAGAGATATTATATCTCCATCAAAAATAAAAAAAACACTATAAATTGAAAAATTTTGTATGCATGTATTTTTTATTCAATATACTATATTTGTGTTCATTTGTAATTTAACATGAAACTAATTTTTAATTGTGTATATTATTGGTTTAAATGCAACTATTTTAATTTTTCTATTATTCTTTTTTTATCTTAAATTTTTTTTTTTATTTTTGTTATTAATAAATGTTTTTACAATATTTGTTTATATATTTATTTTTTTTATTATAATAAATTTCAAAAAAAATTTTCATTTTCATTTATTTGGCACAAAATAAAAAAAAATTATGAAATTCAAAAATTAAAAGAAAGTGAAAATAAACTTTTTTAAAGAAATTATAATAATATATCATATAAAAAGCACTTTAAATAAAATGGTTACAATTTAAAAAAAAAAAACCATTTTATAAATTATATATATATTGTAAAAAGCATGTTTTGAAAATAGGTTATTTTATATCAAATTTACTTAATTATTCTAAAAACTATTGAGAATATTCTTTATTATATGAAATATATTGTGAAAATATATTTATATAAATTTTCTTATATTGTATTACAAGTATAAATTTTAAATTTAATAAAAATATTATTTATCATATTGACTATAAAGATATATCTTTAATTACATACAGTTGATTTTTCTTATAAAATACAGTGGTATATATTTTTATTAGGATATAACACGTATCAATAAATAAATATAAAACCGAATAATAACATAAATATTTGCATGTATATTCTCAAAATTTTCTATTTAAATATGAAAAAAAAATATTTGTTTTTTTTTTTTTTTTTAGCGATTATATACCTAATTGATAACTTCTGATTGATACAAGAATGTATTTATTTTACTTATAATTTAATTTTAGTTTTATATATTTATATTTCAATTTTTTTTTTTATCCACGCTTTTCTCATAAAATTGAGGTAACTTAATTATTAACCTATAGGTAGTATTATAGACTTATTTTAAATAATACTTAAATAAATAAAATGATAAAAAAATTTTTAATTGTGCATGTTAAAATGAAGGTAAAATGTGTATGCATGATTTATTAATTGGATGTTCGGTGACTTTCTTAAAGTACTGAACAAATAAATTAATAGAGAGCATGTAGAGTTGACTCTACGGTTTTGATGTATTTATATACATTTTTAAATGCTTTGAACGAGTGATCCTTAATTATGTAATCTACATCAGTTGGTGTTCTTTGATTTCAATAGGCATTTATTTACTTTAATAGAAATCCTTATTTTTATTAAAAATTTAAATCCTTATTGAATATTGATTATTAATTAAATGTAAATTATTTGTTTCTTTGTTATGAGTTATGTTCAACAATTTAAATATATTACTGTTGAATTGACAAACATAAGCAATTAGTAAAAATTCAAATTAATTATATAAATATTATTTACGTGAAAATTTTATTATTATAAGTATAAAATTTTCTCTTACAAATTAAAAATATAAATACTATTGAAATTATATTATTCTGTATGTTTCAAATCTCATTCTTATTGGTAATGAAAAAATTTCCAAAATTTTATTTTTAACCAATTTCTCGATCAATCCCTCTTTTTTTTTTTTTCTTATAACAAAAAAAAAATATATTTTTTTTACGTATTTGAATTTATAAAAAGAAAACATAAAACAAATTAATAAAATTTTTTTTTTTTTTTGCTAAGGTTTTCATGGCTAACCATGTATTCTTCATATAGCTAGTCCTTTTTATTACCAAATAGGTTAATTAAACCTTTTATTTATCAATAGCACATAGGTGTAGCTATTAATCTTCTATTTTCAGTTTTAATTACTTTATATTATAAATATCAATAAGGTTTATATTGATTATTGTCACCATAATGTTTCAGCTAATTTTGCTAATAATCTTATAACTGTATAAAATATTGTTATCAATATTAATATCTATACTTGCTCCAATGATTTCCTCTTCAATATATTTAAGTCTTCATTCATTTGTTTCCATCTATTATTTAAATAAATTATTATCATATTTAAAGTATTTTCCTGCAATAATATTTAAAAACTAGGACATTCATTATCCATTCTAAGCATAATAAAATATGATGTTTCTTCTACAACTGCGTGAGTTGTATTAATATATATCAATAATGCATTTTTTATCATTTCATCAACAGGTATATCTTTTTATACATATATGGTCTTAATTATATAATTAAGACTATTATGAAATCTTTCATTATTACCATTCCTTTGAGGATAATGAATATATGCATGGTACAATTTTATTTGTAATTATCCTGTAACTTATTTCTGAAGTTCTTAACTCATTTAAATAGAAGCACCATCTATAATAATAATACTGGGAAATCCAAATATAGGAATTTAGATGTTTGTAATCATACAAATTGTATCAATAGTAGTGCATTACTTTCTAATGACACTATTTAACATAAACAGTGAATAGTGATTTATAGCCATCTGAATATAGTAATTTTCTTCTTTACACGTTTTGAAACCAATGATATATAATGAGACCATATAAAATATATTAGATTTTAATAATTACTGGTTATTAAGCTAAATCATTTTATTATACATTACCTAATAGACTAAACAATTCGTGATACATTCCTCAATATATCGAATAATAATTATCCATCAAAATTTTTGTTGAATTTTTTTTAAATTTTTATTGACTCTAAAACATCCAGTAAATTTACTATGAAAGAAATACATTAAATAAATTTTATATCTTCCTCGTATATATAACTATTCTATTTTATAGTGAGTAGATAAGTTATTTATTCATACTACATCTACTGGAATACTATTTATCTCTTACAATATCAATCATATCTTGATAAGATGAAATAACACAAAAACTTTCATAATTGGTTAATAAAAAGCTTCATTAACCTTTTTGGCTATAAAAGGACTAGCTATGTGGAGAATACATAGTTAGTTTTGCTAACTAAAAAAAAAAAAAAAAAAAAAAAATTTAGAATTTTTTTTTGAGAAATTTTGTATAATACCACTTGTGACAATATTAAAATGTTTAATATAATTGTTCTTCTATTCGACTTTATGGTAATTTTA